GTGGTGGGAGACCCACTGACCTCACCAGGCTTTGGCACAAAATCTCAGCACAAAGCGCCGATGGGGATGGAGTTTGGGAAGCATGGAGGTGGCTAACAGATCCCAGGACATGACAAAGCACTTGGAGCATTTGCATACAAATGCTCTTTGCTTGCTTATTGCTTCATCTGCTGCTTGTAAGTCTTTTTAACACACCCTTTAATTTTGTTATTACAAAAAAGAGTGCATGCAAACAACTGCCTGAAGTGAACCCAAGCAGGGAATAATCCATTAAACCACTGTGCTTATATTCAAAAAAGTGTTAGAAACCCCCCTTTGAGGGGAAAAAGGGAAAACCCTTAGGATTCAGGGAACTGCTGCAAATACACAGCCCTGAGTTACATGAGCTGGAAGGCAGAATTCAAAATGTAAATGTTCATATTAAAACAAACTGCTAATTAAGAGCAGGCTCCATTATAGAGATTATACATCTTTAAAGACTCTACCAGACGTGCACATTTTCAGCCCCATGCACAAGTTCCAGGGAAATCCTCCCAGTCTGAACCCTTTTTGTCCTTCTTGTCCTCCCTGACCCTCGTGGCCATTACACAGCTCCAATGTTTAGTCTAGAAAATTCAGGGCCAGCCTCTGAGGGGAGCCATGAGAAAGGAGCAGCCGTGGCAGGGCCAAGTGACACTGTGCCCTGTTCCCTGAGCGGGCAAGGACCTCGTGAGCAGCTCCAGCAGAGATCCAGCCCCGATTCCCAGGCCTCCGACGGGTTCCTCCGTCTATTCAGCACCATGAGAGCCACAAAAACAGCTCACTCGAAAAAATGCCCAAAGTGACCTTGTCTAAAGATTATCTGCAAAATCTCCGCCCATCTCATTTTTAACGGAATAAAAGTATTTTCAATAGTAGCAATGTCAGGGTTTGGGCCAGATAAACAAGCTACAGAGACCGAGTGCTGAGTTCCGTGGATGCAGACTGGCACGAAATTAGGAAAAAAGTGCAGAAATGATCTGTCAGATTTTAACCTTAGAGAAATAAACTCCAATGTTGATGCAAGAAAAAAGTATTTCTCAAGGCATGGCCTCATATCATTCCCATTATTTGCCTTCTTATTGCCACCTGTTATTTTGAGAACTGTTTAAATAAAAGAGACACAGAACCAGACTATCATACGTGACATTTTTTCTCTAGCACTAAAAATGGCTTTTAAAAATATACAGTTAATCCAGCGCAGAGCAACTTGATTTACTGAAATAACTTGACAGCCTGAGCTCTGAGAGATTTTACCAAACTTCAGAGTTTACCTTGCTGTTGAACATTGGGTCCAGACCTCTGTACTCACACCCAAAACCAGGTGGACATCTTTTAAAGACACATTGGGTTGCTCTTCAGAACTTCTCTTTCAAGACAATCTACTGAAAGGGAAAAAATAAAGACTTGCCACATTATCCTGAGTTGTATTAACTAAGAAAAACTGTTGGTATCAGCAATAGCTCAGCAGAATGAGTGATGGAGAGCAAAGTTTGAATATCCAGTGCAACCCATAAAGAGTTGGGCAGCCTGTCCTGTGTGACAGCAGCACACAACACCAGCACCAAAATGAGCAGCTCAGTGTCAAAGTTATCAGGGAAAGGGGATTTATTTAAAAATTGTTATCTTGCACAACTAAAATGACAATGTGCCAATTGTTTTCTTCTGCACTGAATCACTTCCAAAAGAAATCACAGCCCGAGCCTACTCCTAATCTCATCTCTGTCTTTCACATTGCTTAACAAGGAGGACTCGGCTTGAGACAATATTTTTTAATAATCTAAAGTCTCTGATTACCCTACAGAAGATGAAAAATACAGAAACAGCTTTTCCTTTCTAGCCCTCAGAGAAGGTGTTTTAGGATGGGAAGGGGAAGAAGAAAGCAGGGCTCAAACACCCATCAAGCCATGCACATGGAAACCCTGAGGCGTGAATTGACTTCCCTTCGCACACTGATGGGTCCTCTTGGTGTATCTTACTGAGAGATTTGGGGGGAAAAAAAATCTGGTTGGATTTAAAGCCTTACATTAAGGAAAACCAAAGTTTTTCAGGTGAAGGAACCAGTATCTTTGCTCTACAACATCTCTTTGCTTGCACAGTAACAAAATGCCCCAGTAACAGAGTGCAGACCACGGAGGCTCTTTGGGGTAAGACCAGATTTACGCTGAATTAAGAACAACACTTGCCAACCTGATGGTAACTTAAATGTTAACTTTCTGACAAGGGCAAGCAGAGTTTCTTCTGGCATAAAAAGCCCGGTGGTGCAATCAATGATGGTCTGTTCAGGCAGATGCACCTACTCTGCATTCATAACGTAGCCACAGAACTGCTGCTCTCAGTTTCAGCACCACACACGTTCTCACATCACACCCAGCACAGAGAACAGCCACTCTGCTCCTGAAACACAGGCAGCACAGGGCTGAACAGACACGTTTTCGTCTCTGTATCTGCTGGAGACTTTTGTTCTGAGTGATGCTGCTTCAAAGGAGAAAAAAGAAGTCTTTCTTCTGAGCACATACAATTGCCATTGAACACACTGTCAAAAATAAAGGTTGGATGTACAAATTCTTACTTAGAAGAGCATCAGAAATTTTGTAAAGACACAAGGAAATAAGTCATCGCATTCAGCCGGTTCCTTGTTCTCTCACCTCCAAACAGAGAAAAGCAGATTTCTGCTGGCTTTTTTTTTTTCAATTAGCTTACAGTAATTTTCCTTGTATGGTAGAGATTCCTACTATTACAGCTATTGAGGACTCGAATTCCACAGCATACCCCCAAGAATGAGTAATGGTCTCATTTTCCATCTGCAATACTGTGCAAGAGCCAAGGGCAACCCATTGACACCAGAGTATTTGGACCATGAGTTTCAGTTTTGCCTTCTGCTCTTGTCAAAGGCCACTGCTGAAAGCCTCCAAACAGAACTTTATAAAAGCAGCTTTTCAAGGTTCAATAGAAATTCAAATTAACTTATTTCCTTTGTCATGGATTTCTGAGTCATCTTTTCCAAGGGAGGGGAGAGGAAATATAATCAGAGAAGGGAATTATTCCTATTCTACAAGAGGGAGCAGATCTACACTAGTCATCCTTTATCTTGTCATCTTCCTGACCACAGTATTGTGAAAAGCCCACAAGCAGAAATGGCAACAAACATCAATGAAATACTGTGCTCTTTATATCATTAAGTCCTGCCATGAGGAGGAAGGGAACCCATCGCATCTTTCAACCCTGCCTTTGTTGCACCCACCACGCTTGCTGGAAGGGACAGCACACAAAATGTTATGCAAAACCCAAGTCATTCCTGGGAGTTTAGGAAGAAGAATTCATTACGTGGCAGAAAACTTTCATTTCAGTGTGTCTTTGTTGACTGAGCTATAAAAGCCGAAAGAATCTGCCACAAGACCACAACTGATCTGTGGAGGGGGAAACAAACAGTCCTGCTCCCCCTTCCCATCAGCTTCTTCACTGAGTGCACCAAGTTCCCAAGACAGGAAAGTTGGAAGCATGGGGAGATGGGGGATGGAGTTGAGGGAAGGTTGTACCTTGTCCTGGGTCTTACCAACATGTCAAAAGGTGTTCATGCCAAAGAGTGAGATCACAACCTCCAAACAACTTGGTGTCCCTCTCCAACAGGTGATGAAGCTGTTCTGCACTGAAACAGGAGTTATCATTACAGCTTTTGAGCTTATCCATTTAAGAAACATTTTCTGGGAAATTGTGTATCTGGGACCCAGCTACCATCACACCAGACATCAGAAAAGTAAAGTGCTTTCTAGTGAGAGTTCAAGCAAATACCTAAAATCCAAACCCCCCTCTTTTTTCAGCAAGTGAAAGGAAGGCCCATTCGAGTCTCTAATCTGCATTTTTCCTTCCCTTTCCATCCAAAAGAAGGAGCATTTTGCTGCAAGGGTGTCAAGCAATATGAATCATCTTTAAAGCATTCAGTTTAATTAGACAAGGATAAGGGGATTTAAACGACGTCACTGAAATCTCGTTCTCTGCATGAACCTCTGTCATGAGGCAGAGGAGTGGAATCAGTAAAAGTGAAAAAGCGATGGTTTCGTTAAGCTTATTTGTTACAGCCACTGCTCTTGAACAAAGTGGTTTTTATGGCCGTGAACCTCCGTAGGAGCAGAAGTCGAGGTCAGGATGGCAATCCATCATTTTGGGGGAAGAACTGTACTGTAACCTCACATCTGTGCACGGCACGAATAAGAGGCAGCTGTGAGGAGCCACTTCGAGAATTAATGCTGCTTAAAATCACGATGTCTCTGTGCTGTGGGATGTTCTGGTAAGGCAGATGAGTCAGGGGAACTTCAGCGAGCGTCAGCTCATCTCCTGCCCCTGGAACAGATCCTGCTGCCAGAGATGGACAGACAGCTGTGGAGCTGTATCCAGACCTCATTTACACACTAGAATAAAACCCCGAGTTTCTTAATAGTACATAAAACAGTCATTCAGGGTTTTAATTCAAAGTGGGGTTTTTTTGATGCAGAATAGTTGACTTTGCTGATGCTGTAATTTATGTGGGAAAAGGAGATTGGAGAGGACATGGATGAGGACAGGAAACTAAGAGAGATGAAGCTTCAAGCTGTGCATTTTCCTCTGTGGGGACAGAAAATGGCAGCACCTAATTGCTGTCTCAATTCAACATCAGGCCAGCTTTATGCTTCAACCAGAGTGTTTCCCCAGCACCAGTTCTGAGTATGGCTCTAAAGCAAGGAAAAATTTATTGGGTGAGGAATTAGAGCAACCACCAAGGTTTCTGCCTGCAAGGGCACTTCTGCTCGGAGCACTTGATTCTCTCTTCACCCTGAAGGGGAAAAAAACCCCCAAGCAAACATCCAAACCCAGAGGCCACACAGTTTTTGTGCTCTCCGCTGGGCAGCCAAGTGGCATCGCTGCTTTGTTACTTCACAACCAAGAGAACCCTCCAAAGAAGGTTTGGGTTTATAGTGCCTTGTCAGAATCAGCCTCAGTAAAGAACTGGTGGGTCTGTACCATGCACATACCCAAAAAAGAGTGTGGCACGAGAGATGACAGATGACAGCAACAAAACCAGTGTGGGGACTGCGGGGAACTCTCAGGTTGATTTTAAAGAGGAAGTCTGAATAGGAATCATTTACTACTCCCATGATTACACAAGAAAATGATATCATCAGCAGGATGAAAGACTGTACAGAGAGACAGCAACATTCATTACTTCCCAGCTGAAATCAGGACTCAACCTGGAAACAAAAGCTTCGGTTCCTCTGCGGTTGGGTAATTAAACACAGAAGGGGCTGAACAGAAAAGGCTTTTCATTTGCCACTACACAGACCCTAAAGGTGCATTCAAACTTCTCCCCTGAAGCTGAACTTTCATCCAGTTATCAAGATAAATTATTTGGTTCAAGCAGATGGAAGTCTGAACTTCCCTTCTGGTCTCCATCACCCACTGGAGAAATGGGACTTGTCCACATGGAGGTCACCATTCCTGCAGTACTTCTGGCTGTTCAGAGTCAGGCTTATACCAGTTTTGGAGGTTTAGAGCAGCGTTTTTGTCTGTTCAACAGCCTTGTCCACATCAGAAGGGGCCGGGGAGGTGAAGTGTGGCACTTTTGCTGGAGGAAAGAGCAATTCCTACTTGCTGACTCCGAGCCTTTGTAGTGCAATGTACCAAGTATTACACAGTCCAGATGCAGCTCCTAACAATGACAACCAAATTCTCACTGGAGGGATAGTTTTGCATGGCATAATTCACTACAAGTGAAAGCTGTGCGAGCCAAGAGAAAGATATAATCTAATTATTTCTGGTTTCTCAGGGCTGAAGGTGAGAGGGAAATTTAAAAGCAAACAAAGACACGTTGCTCAACATGGAATGCTGCAATATAAAGAAGTGAAAATTAAGGCCCTGCACAAAACATGTCAATTTTCAATAGATATGGCACTAACATATATCAATATTTCTGACAAGCCAAGAATGTCAGATTTCTAAGCACAATATGAATCACATTAGAATTAAGAACAGCTGAGCCTGCACAACAGATTATACAAGTATTTATGAAGCACAGGAAATACTCAAAGCCAGCAAGTTCAGCTGTATATACCAATATAACTAATAACTGTTATGCTACATCTATCTGCTAAAAAACCACTTTATTGACACGATAACTGCAAATTACTGAAGTACTGGGTAAGACATTGAACATATGGGCAAAATATAGAGGGCACTAAAAATGCCCTTTAAAACAAGGGGTCTACTCTCATTAAAAGCTGTCCTCTTACCAAGACTGAAGGAAGATCAATGAATTGTGAAAGCACTTCAAGTTTTCTTTGCTCAAAATGGCAGATTTCAAAAAATTTGGCAAAATGTCTTGAGGAGAAAAATAACTAGTGTTGTACTCCAGCTTGGGAAGAAGAAAACACAAACCACAAGGCTCAATCTGCAGCAAAGGGTACCTGAAGCTATCTATCAGATAAGATTGAAACTGCCCCTATGTGGGCATCTTTCAAAGAATCATTAAAGAGTTTTCCACTATTGAAAACAACTGATGAGACTCCTAAAAAAGCCCCTTAATTTAATTTACTTGGACATGAACAAGTTAAAAGCAGAGTTACAGGATATAGTACCAATAATGCAGGTATGTCACTACAAGATTTTGCTGTACCCTTAAACAGTTTGATTCATTAAAAGAGCAACTGGTTGTGATGATGAAGTTTGATAAGTGTTAGAGTCTTAAAAAAACATAAAATAATCAGTGATCTGGAATGAAACATCGGGACTGAAGTCAGTAAAAATGCAGGGTAAGGTATTTTGGTTTTATGAAAAAAAAAAAGTATCGAGTCTTTAGCCAAGCAAGCAGATTAAAATAAAATAAAAACAAAGTTTTAGGAGCCCTGAGCAGTTCCACAAAAACTCGCATTGCATTAGATCTTTTCACATAGACACCACTACATTCACCAGGGACGGTTTCTTTTGGAGCAAGGAATGTCTCATCATTCCCTGTCCTCCTCAGTGAGCTGGTGTGGAAGACAGGCTGTGAAGAGGAAGAGCAAGTCAGTACTGATATCAAAGACAAGAGCTGGAAGGAGGTGGGTGCCCACGGAATCACAGGATGGTTTGGGTTGGAAGGGACTTTAAAGCTCAGCTCATTCCACCCCCCCTGCCACCCAAGGCTGCTCCAAGCCCCATCCAACGTGGCCTTGGACACTTCCAAGGACATGGCATCTAAATACAAACACACCAGAGCTGAAGGTAAGGTGCCCATGGAACCAGAAGAGGCCTGAATTAGTTTTCCCAGGTAGATTGCAGGTGAGCAGGAACAGAAAAGCCCCACGAGCTTCAGTCATTTGTTCACAAGAGCAAGAGACTGCTCTGAAGGAACCTGCTTTGAAGGACTTCCAGGGTCAGCCTGGGAGATTGTGTAACAGTTTTGTTGTGCTCTCTGTCCGTGGTACAATTTTAACACAACTGTAATCACAGCACCAAGAGGTGGGAATGCAAGTGCAAATCCCCATCCCTTAATTGCTTTGCCTGGTTCAGAGTGGGAACTTTAATTCAAGTCTTCCACTCATCAGGAGGGTGCCTGAACCATCAGAAAACACAGCAGTTTTTTTCTGGCTCACTAACCATTAAACAGCTCACACAAAGTCAAAAAGGAACAGACTCAAATACTCACACAGATTATTTTATATTAAGCATATTCAAACTTCTGAGCCCAACAACCCACATACCAAACATTTCTGTAAGATCAAAAGCCACATTTTGTGCTCTCGCACACAATCCCACACACATCTAAACTTCAGCCTCTTACCAAACATCCTGATCACTTTATTTTCAGACTGACTGCTCTCTAAAAATTATCTGGTTTTGCTTTCTAGCAGCTATATTAAAACCCATTATGAGATGAGCAACATCCAGAGAGCCAGGGGATGGATCTCAAGTTGAGCTGCTTGAGACAGGCACAGCTTGGAAGTCACATTTCCATAACCCACATCCTGCAGTTGGGCACTCTGAGGTTTAAAACTCAAGCACTTGGATGAAGCTGAATCTAAATTTCTATGATCCCTTGCAAATGCAATAGCTAGGTAGGAACAGATGAGAACCTAAAAATCACAAAGAATTGGCTTGTAACTGGTCAGGACACAGACATCTAACATTTTCCAGCATCACTTTAGGCTTTGACTTCTCATTGACAAGGGCAGCTCTGACTGTTCCAGCCCACAGATGCTACTCAAACTCACCATCTTGTATTTTAAACACATTGTGAATGCAGATTGCAAGCAAGAATCCACTCAGCAAAGAAGAACCTGTTGCTATCTTAAAATATACACAATTTAAACTCTAATGGCTTTAAAATTAATTAAGTCTTTAAAATAAAATTAATTTACATTTCATTGCAAATCTACTTTAATCTGCTGTATTAGAAAATAAGCAGATAAATTAGGTTACTCAAGATATGGAATGGACCACCAAACTGAAATGTCTCCCACCAATTCTGGACTAGATATCAAAGTATTTAAGCAACTCTATCAAACAGGCCATGCTTTTAGGGAGAAAAAAAAATTGTCTACTGGTTGCCTATAAAGTTGGCCCCAACTACAGAATCCCTCCTACTGCTCCTTCACAAAGTGTTCTGCAAATACCTTCCAAAAATACTCTCCTCATTAGGCCATAAAACAAGGAGCAGGACTGCAAGCTGGCCAACCAAATCAATTAGTTGCTCTTTCACACTAGATTAAATGTTGAGTAACCACCACCTTCAGAGGAGTTAGAACAGTGTAAGTCAGAAATGAGGACAGAATTTAGCAGAACACTTCCATTAATTTCTAGTTAATTGTGACAGAACACAAGATGATCTGATGTATTTGCAGCGTATTCAGACTGCAAATAAACCCTATTTTTGCAAGTCAGAATAGAAGAGTTATGGCCAATTTTGTGCTCTTTAACAAAGAATATATGCTCTTTGCTGCGGATCAGTTACTTACAGACCTAAATTCTCTGCTAAAAGCATTTACCCTTGTATAACCTACTGCTTATAAGCTTGATTTTCATTCACCTTTCCCAGACCTTTCAGGGGTATTCCATGGATGCTGAGGAGTCTGCAAAAGCACTGCAACAGATCCAGTCCAAGTGTGGGAAATACTGACCCTGCAGCACCATCCCTCTCACACACACTTGTTTTAAGCCTACACAAACTGCACCACACAGAGAAACTTGCCTGGAGAAGGCACAGAAACGCTTTCAGACCCTTCACAAGCACCTCTGTGCCAAACATCCTCCTTGCAAACATGAAGACATCCCAAACTTACCTGGGACCCCACAAATAGCCGTCGGCAGCACCGGAGATCCCAGATGTGGAGGAAACAGCTGGAGCTCCGACTTCTTCATGAGACAGCTGGAGATTTCCCAATAAAAGCCAAGGCAGCTTTCCATCCCAACTTTTTGCAGTTCCAGCTGCATGTTGTGGTTCCCTGGGGAATGCACTGGCTGAAGAATTCCTGGTAGCATGGTTTCATGGAGCAATGTATATGTCTGCTTTGTTTCTTATTGCCATGGGATTAAATCACATGTTGAGCTCTACCCTGGCTAATGACATTAAGTCAAGAAGTAGAATCACAGAGAAGAGATTCAACATGCCAGTGATAAAGAACAAAATTTAGCCTTTCAGTACTATTCCAGTTTCAAAGAAACCACCTTTGAGGTGGTGGTGACCCCAACCAAAGTAGGGGGAGAGACTAGAGCAAAGAGAATTTATATGTTTCACTATAAATTTTGGGGAAAGACAGGGTAGAGCCTGTTCTTTATTCTGATAATATCTCTTTCAAAGGTACAAATCTTTTTCTTACTCACTATGGTAAAAAAGCCCCCCATGTTTTGCCATGTAAAATAAGTACACTTTCCTATCACCCACTTCTAGCAATATATATAGAGACTGTATATCCTAAACACATCATTTGTCAACAGCTTGTAAATCAGGTTTTTCTAAATGGGAGCATTAGTCATTAATTGTTTTAAACTTAACAAGTGAACACTCAAAACAGGAAATATGATACATAAACAGGAACAAAGTCTTTAGCACAGCATTCAGTAAATAGAGCAGCTAAACCCTGACCAGTGTGTTAGTAACAACCATCCACAGCTCTAAACACAACTGGTGGATGGACAGGGAATGTTCTCCCTGTGACGTTTGTGTAGTTTGCTACTGAGCAATGAAAAACATCATTTTTTTCCCTATTACCCTTCAGCAGCAACGTCTTTAAATCCAGTCTCCTTCCACTCCCAATTTTTAGGGTCCAAAACCTTACTGCAACTTTTGGTTGTGCATTGCTCTCATGACTAAAACCGAATGTTCCAGTTACAATTTGTGTGCCAGGAATATTCACGTGCATCCCCTTTATCTAACTTTTATAAGTAGTAAACAGACACCAAAATATGACCTCTATTTGGTCCATATTTGTATCTTAGTACATGAGCTTGAGGAAGAAAGGTGAACCTGTCAGAAAACCCTGAAGTGGCTGAGCTGGAATCTGAGCAGGGAAAACCCAACCACTCATAGTAAGGACCAGTTTGTTCCCCCTTCCAAAGCCCAGTTCTAGAGTGGGTTTTGTTTTACTGTGAGGGTGGGGAGGCCCTGGCACAGGTTGCCCAGAGAAGCTGTGGCTGCCCCAGCCCTGGAAGTGTCCAAGGCCAGGCTGGATGGGGCTTGGAGCAACCTGGGATAGTGGAAGGTGTCCCTGTCCATGGTAGGAGGTGGAACAGGATGAGCTTTAAGATCCCTTCCAACCCAAACCATTGCATGACTTTTATGCTCATATTTACTGGTAAAAAGTCACCTTACAGTTCATGAGACAACTCCCATTTGTGGGGGCAAATTTGAGTCCCAAACACCTGCCCAAAATCACATAACACTGGGGAAGGGAACAGGAGCAGAAGAGAGAGACAAACATTGAGAGAAAAGGTGTAAAGTGGTATTATGTTATTAAAACATTACATTAGAAATAAACAGAACATAAACCAAAAATAGGTTTTAACCAGGTTTAACTTTTTTTCTTTTTTCTTTTTTTTTTTAAATTCAAATTGACCCAAAGCAAAAAACTTACATTGCAAAGGAAGAACAAAATACATGATGGCATCAGTAACACAGAGTTATGGAAGCTGGACTTGTGGGCAGGTTTTTCATCCAGCCCAGCCCACCCTGGTAAACACACCACATATTTTCTTTTGCCTCTGGGTATTTATCTGATGAGTTCGTCCAGATGTGGTTCTCCTATGATTGCCAACCAGAGCCAGAAAACTGAATTTTCCACGCTATTCCAAGGAAGCCAGAGTTATTCCAAGCATGAGTGATAATGAATTTAAAAAAAAAAAAAAAAAGAAAAGAAAAGAAACCCAAAACAAAACAAAAAAAACCACTCGAGCTTTTCAAACTAACAAGTATTGTCTATAATGTAAATAGTTTAGAAATATGGTAATTAAATAATCTAAAAAACACTCTTACTCTGCTGTACATTTATAAACATAAATATTTACAAAAACTTTCTGCTTTGTTTTAAAGGATGAGGTTTGCAGTTTGTTAATGATCAGAGTCTTTTACTCATATTGATTCTTTGGTGTGTTTGCCAATTTTTTAAGGTTTATTAAAAGTGTTCAACCGTGAATTTCAAGGTAACGGAACGAGGCTACATCACAAGTCCATGTTATGCACTTTTCCTTCCACATTCTAGTCCAAATGAAAAACAAAGCTCGGTTTGTCCTTCAAAACTATTTGTGCACAACATTGAAAATAATAATAATAATAAAAAAAAAAGACCAAATTCCCTATTACTGAAATTTGGATAGGATTATCGATGAATAATCCCACTTCCTTTGCACTTGAGCACATGGACAACTGAAGATAGAGATCAGGACTATCAGTATTTTCAGAGACACGTGTGCTGAGGTGCTTTGTAGAATTAAGGTGAGAAACCAGCTACAAGAGATGGCTTAGCATTGTAAAAAAGGGTGAGGGCTTCCCTCCACCTTGGGGAGAGGAGGGGATGAAAACTCATTTAAAAGAAAGGCTTTTTACTGGCCTGAAACATTTGTGTGTTCCCTTTAGATGTCAGTTTACTTAAAAGAAATAACAAAAAAACAAACCTCAAACAATAAATAATGGAATTACACATTTCTTCATTAAATAGCATTCTTGTTACCAACAAAGTCTTCCATAATTTTCTTCAGTCACAGCAACAGACAGAACAAATAATTTGCCTTAATATAGATTGCAACTAAAATATACTCTAGATTACCTTAGAAAATATGACTGTAAAAATTCAGTGGGGAAGAACATTGGTTTGAGACCAACTTACAAATGTAGTGAACAATACCAAGTTTGCTTTTCGTTTCTGTTTTTAAAGAAAGCAATTTTAAGATCCTAATCTCATGTCACAAAACAGAAGATTTATGCTTTAAACCTGCCAGTGTGTCCTGTCTCAGCCCTGGAGAGCTCGATGATCAGAAGGGCTCGACCTTTTCTGCTTCAATGGGAGCCAATGGACACCACCACACACAAGAGCTCTTCCACTCCACCCACACCCTCAGGTTGTCCCTGCCACGGTGCCACCACCAGAGACACAACCTGGAGGAAGCTCCACAAAGCTCTACAACCTGGTGTGTGGCTGGACTTGCTCGTTCCAGCTGCTGAGACAAGAATTTTCGGTCACTGCTCCAGCAGGCTGGACTTGAACCCACACAAGCTGGAGATAAAAAGGTTCAACATCCCATCACCAATCCTCTGAGCCATGAATCTCCAAAATCCCTTATTGTTTGGAAACCTGATGCAATGCCAGGCACAATAGGGAGGGATAATCCTCCGTGCTTGCCACAGTTCCCGTGCATCCATCAGCAGTGATGAGGTTCGTGTTCAAGGAGCTGCACTCTGGGGTTAGGAGGTGTTAAAAGGAACTAGCACAGTTAAAATAATGTGAGTATACCTGCTTCACCTTGCTTTTCCTATTTTTAACATTGAATATTTTGGAAGTGGCAGCGTGACATTTAAAAGCCACCGCCGTTCCTTTCATCTC